CAACATTATTTTTTTAAAAACCATTAACCATTATTTGAAAACCATTTTATTTTTATCTGTCTGCAGGTAGAAAATGCTGTCAAGGGAAGACTGATGTGCAGAATTGCTGAATGCCGGGACAAAAAGCAATACTGGGCAGCAAAAAAATCAGAGATGTGTCTATCCGAAGACACAGCAGAAATAATCTACTCAAATTGTCCATTTGTTATGGAAAAGGATTAATAAAAATTAATTTATTTCTTCTCAAAAAACAAATTGTTTATTGTCATGTGTCAATATTTACAATGCAAGAAAAAGAATAGCACTCACACACGTTTTTCTTAGTTAAAACTCTGTTTTGGCTTATCAATAATCATAACACCAGAAAGGGTACAATAACAATACATTTAAAGTGAGCAATCACCTTACTTGCTACACCTTTAGACACTTTAAAGTGCTTTGCCACATCCCCTACAAGGTTCAGTTTCACTATGGGAACAGGAATACTTGTTGCGAAAACGAATGGCAACATCGTTTTCACTAAAGTAAAAAAATATTATAGACGCAGTCCTGTGTACAGCCGTGAGGCATCATCATCCAGGAGCATATCAGCCACAGTCTGACCCAGAGCCTGCGTCGATTTGTTCATATGGTCCAACTTTGCCGCATAGCTGTGGTCAGTTTTTGTTAGGTCCTCCCATTGTGTTGCAGCATCTTTAAACTTCGGCTCGATGCACACTTCTAAAAGACAAACAGCATAAACTATAAATGTCACATATATACCCCCACTGACACAGGACAGAGACACATATCAACAGTCGAACTTATGCTGCAAACTTTTGCTAACCATAAAATATCAAGATACACTTACCATCCGATTGCGTGTCACTTGTGTTTCTGTTCTGTTTTGCTGGGGAGGTTTGCTCGTATATCCCAACTAAAGAACCAATGAAGTGATAAGAACAAACAAACAGTCTTTTGAGCGGATTCTTCACCTTCAAAGCCGCTAGCCACTTCCGAGATAATGATTAAACATTTGTTTTTGGTTTCTCATACAACGTATACGGGGGAGCACATCCACATTGGCGTCTTGTATGGTTGATTCATTCTCCTTCCGACCAAACATTCAGCAATCGCCACGAGTTGTTACAACCACGAACAGCACAATATGTCCCAAAGCCGTGTCGACGTGTAACACCATCCATAGTTTACTTTTTCTGCACGCTAACCAAAAAAAACAAGACGCTAACTCGCTAAGCGGAAGTGCTTGGCAGATACAACCGGAAGTCGTTGGCAGAGTGAGGGGCTAATGGCGGCCCGCCTATTTCACTCAGGAAACTTGTCTATAGGAGATGCTATGATATGTACAGCATAAGCTGTGCTTACTAATGCAAGCTTCACTACTGTTTTTTTTCTTTTTGTTTTTTCTTTCATAATTAAAGAAATGAAATGAAGCACCACTCACATTTTCTACAGATGCAATGCAAAAATCTAGTTGAAATTACGAGTGTGCGTGTTTGTGTTAAAGGTTCACAATCAACTTCCAAAAAAAAACATCGTTCTCTTTCTCTCCCCCTCCCACTCAGGTATAGATTGGCGGGTTTGCCTGGCGAGTTTCAGCTGAAGAACATCACCAGTGCAGAGATTAATTACTGTCTGATTGGAGAGCTCATCATCTGGACGCAGTATGAGATCCAAGTGGCTGCCTACACAGGAGCGGGCCTGGGGGTGTACAGCCAGTCTGTCATTGAATACACACTGCAAGGAGGTTAGACAATCACACGCACGCAAACAAACAGAAACAATGCCTCATCAGTCTGAGCAAACCCTTGATATTTCCAATCTTTTAGGGTGCGCACGTGTCCAAAAGATCCTCTTCCTCATTAAGCTACCCGATATCATAGAGTAACCATGGGAACCGTAAAATCCATTAGCTGGCTTTACTGCACAGATCGGCCATCTGAAAGATTATTTCTAAGAGGAGTAAATTTATGGACTCTGGGCAAACAGTGACCGTAGCCCATTAATTAATCTAATTTGCTTTATGTGCGTGAATTTGTGTGTGCGCGGAAGTGTGGGAGTGTTCTGAGATCGTTGGGCCGTGATTATTCATATTATTTAACGTCAGGCTAATGATACTCCTGCAGAGATTAAGAGACCCCGTGTCCGCAGGAAAAGAGTCTTCTCGTAGAGACTGGAACAAGCGCTTTTGGTTAGAGGCGGTTTTTATGTCCCAGTTCAGATTACTGGACACTCTAATGTAACCTTGCGTGATTGTGTTTGAAATGAAAAGGGCAGCAGGACGAATCGGAGTGCCCAATCCAATTGAGCAATATCTAATCTGTACTCAACTTGCCAGGCCTGACCTTAAAGGGGCCATCTTAAGCACATTAAAGGGTAACTAAACCCCTGGTCAGAGCCTGACTCCACCCACTAGCAATATTTGAAAAATGCTGAAAAAATGGGCAGACCCCAGCGGGGCTAGGGGGCGTGCACCTGAGACCCGCCGTGAGTGACAGCTGCTGTCAGACTCTAAAATAGAGCGAGACTAGTCTGGAGTGACTCAATAGCTGCCTTTGCAACAGAGCGGCCATTTGAAGTCGAGGACTTTTCTCCCTCACCTTCACCTTCACCTGAAGTGGATGAGGGTGAATTGTATACACAGGGCCAAATCCATTCGAGCTGCTGGCTCAAACTGCGGTCTTAACTCCCGCATCGCGACCGGCATCTGATGAGTTATGTCGTCGAGTTGATCTCAATAAGCGCACGCTATTGATATTATGCCGCTATATGAAAAAATCCAGCAAAATGCACCGGCTCGTTTGTCGACCCTAGAGGATTAACTTTATCCTAACCATAAATTGTGATTAAAATATCCATGATCACTCACATCAAGACGCCGCTGCGGTGGAGGAGTCCATGCAGGACGAGCAGTGTTTGGCACTGCGTGTGCAGCTGTGTGGAGAAGCCATGTCCACCTCTATTCCGTTACTATCCTGATCACTGTACTAAACACTGATAAATCTATGCTAACTTGAAGCTATCCTAACTGTACTATGCTACTAGCTACACAAAATAATCTAAATTATCTATATAATGCTATGCTAAATAGATGCAACAATACTCTATCCTGGTCGTTTTCAAAAATAATCTAAATAACTATATAAATGCTATGCTAACTAGATGCTATTATATGCTATAGTATCCTGATCGTTTTCAATATTCATAAATCCAACTCCTGACTCGCTACAGTAGTTTTGACGGAACCAGATGCTTTTATACCAGGGGCTGCCAAGGGCGTGGTGAGCTCGCACCAAGGGTGTGACAGAGTGCGTCTGAGAGTTCGCTACGTCAGCAAGTACCCCTACTGCAGGAGCTTTCCGTTTAACCTGAAGAGGGCAGCACTCAGACGTTTTTACACCATATATTTGAAAATCAAAACACTTTATACTCAATTGTCAAAAAATGTACTCGAATCAATGAACAGCATTTATGAAGCTCCATTCTTACAGATCATTAACTAAAAAAAGTTGTTTTGGTGTTTAGTTACCCTTTAAGTGTAAGCGGCATTGAGTCTTTATGGAAATATGATCTTGTTCTTTCCACTTCCCGCTCAGGCCTGCTGCATAGCGACGATAGGCTACAAAAAGGCTTTGGATACAGACTGTATTTCATGTGTATTTGTATGTGATTATCGGTGCTGCTATGAATGATCATTTGAAATGTAGAGCAGGCTATGTATAGGAATGGGGGCTTTGGGTGGGTGTTTAAATTCAGAATTCAGGTAGTCATGACAGATATGGTCTCGATATGGACCCAGACTTTTGACTATCATCATCTTTTCTGTCTGTCCTAAAGCAATTTAGCAAAAAAAAAAAAAATAAAAAAGTGTCGGATATTCTATTGTGGTCATCAATAATTAGTTTACTTGCTAAGAAGTGTCTTAAAGTTCTCCTGTAGACGATTTTATCCATTAAAAAATTACATTTTTAAATGATTTTTCCTTGAGAAGAAATGTTCTTAATGCCTTAAAGGAGTAGTTCACTTTTAAAAAAAAAACTTTTGCTGATAATTTACTCACCCCCATGTCATCCAAGATGTCCATGTCTTTCTTTCTTCAGCTGGAAAGAAATTAAGTTTTTTGATGAAAACATTCCAGGATTTTTCTCCATATAATGGACTTCAATGGGAACCAAACGGTTCAAGATCCAAAAGACAGGTTCAGTGCAAACTGCAAACTGTTCAAAGGGCTTTAAACGATTTCAGACGATGAATAAGGGTCTTATCAAGTGAAACAATCGCTCATTTAAAAAAAAATATAACACAGTTTAAGTTTTATAAGCTCAAATGGTCGCCTTGCTCTGTTCTGTGATGCGTGTTTGTGACTCTCCTGTTCGAACTCGTTCATCAAAATGAACTAATCTTTTTTTTGTGTCATTTGGTTCATTCAATGAACGAAATGAATGAGTTGACTCGGGAAAAGATTTGTTCATTTGAGTCAAAGATTTGTTGGACCTTGAACCGTTTGGTTCCCATTGAAGTCCATTATATGGAGAAAGTCCTGGAATGTTTTCATCAAAAAACTTTGAACTCTGAACATTGAACTCTGTCATAGAAACTATGTATAAACCTTAAATAAACAATTTAATAATCATTAAAAAAGGAATTTATACTTGTATGATATTACGCTGTACCCACGTTGGACCAGCGGTTTGGAAAATAGATAAATGGATGATTCAGCTGCGGGCGCCATCTTCTGGTTAGATGGCATGTGACTCTCACAGTGCATTATGGGTATTCTCTAGCCGTTGAACGAACATCGGTTGTACACTCGTCATTGCGGTGCATTGTGGGATTGAATGAGTGTACTCGATAACATCCACTATGGTTTCGGACACTTCTACGAATTCCTGTCCCCTCAAATAGTGCCCAATTTATGGGTATAGAGGGCGATTTCAGACACAGACTATGTTTGTAAATTTTCGAAATATTTCATTAACAAATTGTCTCCGACTGCGCAGTCCCCACAGCGCCCCCACAAGACGTGGATGCCGTTGCGCTCAACTCCACCACCATCAAATTCACCTGGACACCACCACCCCAGCAGTTCATCAACGGCATCAACCAGGGATACAAGGTAATAGTGGAGAGGGAGAAAGATGTCAGTGTATGAGAGAAAGAGAGACACTGGCTCACATGCTCTGTTAGAGGTAAAATATTCAATTAAATTTGCCTGGCATGTTTATTGTCTTCGGGGAGAGTGTATCCATGATTGATTGGCCAAATGCCTGCGAAAACAGCAGCTTTAAATTCATACAAATAAAACAAGAGTAGTTAAAACCTAACAATTTTATCACTTGTTGTTATTTCGCATCTCTCTCACAGCTGCTGGTGTGGCCCGAACACTGTCCGGAATGCATTACCATGGTGACCATTGCCCCCGAGTTCCACGGGTCACGTCACTATGGTTACGTTAGCAATTTAAGAAAGTTCACGTGGTATGAGACGGCGGTGCTGTGCTTTACCACGCCTGGCGATGGGCCTGCTAGCACACCACAGCTCATCCAGACACATGCTGACAGTGAGTACACACACAAACACATGGACGCCAACACTACAAAAAAAGACGTTTTGGCGACGTTCACACTGTCAGTCAAATGCACAGCTTTTTTTGCACTGTCATATCCACCGTTTTCAAAATATGTCTATATTTAAATGTCTAGCATTGTTTCGGCAGCGACTTTCTGCATGTTTCTTATAACAACGTCTGACGTTTCCATTTTACGTGCCGTGGGATTTCCAGAAAAAGATAGCTTGAAACTGATTTGTAAAAATTGCATCTCATGTGATTTTTTTTTTTTTTTCACACTAGCTAAATCTGATCTGATTTCAATCAGATATGCACAAAAATTGAAAGTCTGAACATAGCCTTTGACTAAAACATCTAAATATCGGTATTTCAGTAACACTTTACAGCAAGGTTTCATTTGTTAACATTAGTTAACATTTTAGTTAATGCAGACACCACTTGAACACGAGCGAACAATGAACAATTGCATGTTATTAAGAAATAATAGCAATGGTAAATAGATCCTATAAAAATATATTGTTCATTGTTCATGTTCATTTACTCATAATTTACTCATCCCCATGTCACCCAAGATGTCCATGTCTTTCTTTCTTCAGTCGAAAAGAAATGAAGGTTTTTGATGAAAACATTCCAGCATTTTTCTCCATATAATGGACTTCAATGGGAACCAAATGGTTCAAGGTCCAAAAGACAGTTTCAGTACAAACAGCAAACTGTTCAAAGGGCTTTAAACGATTCCAGACGATGAATAAGGGTCTTATCAAGCGAAACAATCGCTCATTTAAAAAAAAGAACAAAGTTTAAGTTTTATAAACTCAAATGGTCACCTTGCTCTGTTCTGTGATGCGCATTGGTGACTCTCCTGTTCATCAAAATGAACAAATCTTTTCTCAAGATTTGTCATCTCGAACAAGTCATCTCGTTCATTTCATTCGTTGAATGAACCAAATGACACGAAAAAAGATTCGTTCATTTTGATAAACAAGTTCGAACAGGAGAGTCACGAATGTGCGTCACAGAACCGAGCAAGGCGACCATTTGAGCTTATAAAACTTAAACTTTGTTATTTATTTTTTAAACGAGCGATCGTTTCGCTTGATAAAACCCTTAATCGTCGTCTGGAATCGTTTAAAGCCCTTTGAACAGTTTGCACTGAAACTGTCTTTTGGACCTTGAACCGTTTGGATCCCATTGAAGTCCAATAAATGGAGAAAAATCCTGGAATGTTTTCATCAAAAACCTTAATTTCTTGTCGACTGAAGAAAGAAAGACATGGATATCTTGGATGACATGGGGGTGAGTAAATTATCTGCAACATTTTTTTTTTTAAATTGAACTACTCTATTGAACTACTAATGTTAAAAATTAGACTATTGTGAAGTGTGACCAGTATTTAATTGCCTTTTGATTGATTGGGTCCCATAAGAAAGAAAATATACAAATAGGATCTTGATTAATATCTCAATTGTTTTTCCAAATTTGAGGTTTTTGCCTAAATAGTACAGTGTAATCACTCATACGTCTCCTCTAGAGCTTCAACATTTTCAAAAACTGTGCTCCGATGGCTCTTATTGCTCTTCAGATTCTTTCAAGACTATCTGAATGATTCCGTCCACATTAATGTTATATACAGGTACTGCTGGTCAGAAATAGTGTCATTAGTTTCTGCTATCGACTTTAGCAGAAAACCAAGTTGATACTTCAATAAAAAATAAATAAAAAGAACTGAGAGCTCTATTACATCTCCTGAGCAACCTCTAAGCAATAAACGTGTCCTCTGGGATAAAATGTTTTGCTTGCACTCCTGACATGTAAAATCATATTTCACACTCTTGCAGATACCCACACACTCTTACAGACAGTCTGTCAGTATTTAATTGGAGACAATTGACTAACAGTACGCTCTTTACTTGAAAACTGTCCAGCAGGCTTTGAGAAAGAGATCTCTCGGCAAAAACAAGCCTGTTTGTCTGACATTTCACCAAAATCAATACGGAGGATAAATTTGGCCCTTTCGCTATGCATGCCGCAATTTGCCACGTAATTGTGCTTTTCACTTCGCCATTGATTAGTCTTTTCACTGAATGTATATTGGCCACCCAAGCGCTGTTTTCGCGTCATGCCACAGGCACGTAGAATCAGCCTTCACTAACCTGCAATTATTGAAGCAGGATCACTCCTCTTAGTCAATGCACGTGTGCTCGCTATTGATTGTCCCACCATGCATGTATATACGCTTGGAAATGTGTGTGAATGCATGTGCAGCTGTTAACAGACAATGTAATTTTCATCAGATGATAACAGCATGTGGTCTTATTTACACGGTTAAGCCACAGGAGCTTGTTTCCCATGAATAGCTCAATCACACAAACAGGTTAGACACACAAACTGTTGTGCACAATGGTCTCGCTCTCTTATCTCTCGGCTTATTTGTGCTAGAAAGACTTAGCGGCGTGCTCGTGCAAGCATAATGTGGGAAATTCATTTCGTTTGGTCTTTTTGATGAAATTTTTAGGTTTAATTTTCCAAGGATTGGAATGGAAACCAAATTAATCAAAGTTTTTAAAACCAAGGAGGTCTGAAATACCTGCCGAAAGCTATCCGTTAGCATTAGCTAAATGAGTGTGCATCAAGTGTTCCTATTCCTAAGCTAAATTACAATAAATGAGATTTAAATTAAATTTAGTCGTTTTATAAGCTTTTGTCATTTTTATTAGTTTTTTTAATATTTAGTTTAAAAAAAAACATTTAATACTTCAACTTAATTATTTCAGCTAGTCGACAAATGGCAATTAATACTAGTTACATTTTTGCATCTACACTGTAAAAATTAATACGCTTTATCTAATCAAGAAAATTGTGGTAACAGATTACAAGCAATATTATTATTTAAATTGAACTAATTAGAATTGAGTAATAATTAATCAAATTATTCCTTAAAAGTTAACCATTTAAAATGAGTAAAGTTTACACCAAAAAAATCAACAAAAATATCTGAATAACAGACAGACTCTTTATTTTATATTGCCAACATTGAAGACACTTGATGTTAACAAGCAGAATCACTGAAGGAAACACCTAAAACAAACACCGATCACCATAATGACGACTTAAATGTAAGTTTTACTCATTTTAAATGGTTTACTTTTAAGGAATTAATTTGAATAATTATTACTCAATTCTAATTTGTTAAATTGAATTAAGAATATTGCTTGTAATCTGTTTCCCCAATTTTTTGATTAGATAAAGCGCATTCATTTTTACAGTGTAATTTCTGTGTTATTTTATTCTTTTTTTAGCTTTATTTAAATGATCAAAACAAATAATTGTTTTAGTTTAAGTTAACACTAACAACAATCAACTCCTATTTTGAAATCTCCATTTATAGAGAAAAATGCTTTTTGAACCCATGTGGTGTATTTATAGCATTTACTAGCGACTATGCTAACAGCTAAACCTTGACCTCTTAGTCAAAATGAGCGACACTTTCACAAAAAAAAGTCTTGCGTTCTCATAAGCACGTGATTGATTAACCTGTCAGTCTAGCAGTGTGGGTCATGAGGGTTTGACACACGCATGTTAGGTCTAATGAGATTGCAGCCTTATTCGCACACATTAACCACTGCGCTTTTCAGGCAACTGTCATGTTCGCCTGTCAGATGGATTGTCTTGCAGGTTGTGTATGCATGATTGATTAACCACTAAATGACTGCTAACTTGTGTGGGTAATTGCCAGCAAACACGTAATTTGCTTTCGCCTGTTTGCATTTGTGATGCAACGGTTCCACATCAACAAGCTCTTCGTTGGGAGTATTATGGTCTTGCGGACTGAGGTTGCAGGGTAATCCTTTAACATGAGTGGGTTTTAAAGTAGTGCCCAATAAATAATAAGCTTTATTCCACTCACGCATTCACACACACACACGTTTGAGGTCAGAGCATCGACAAAAATAATTTTGCTGGTTTTAAAGGGAAAACGTTAGATTAAAAAAGTACAATTCATCTGTTTAGGTGTAAATATGACATTATATAACATGTAATTTACACTGTAACTTTATAACTTACAAAACACAGGAGATGTGAGGGAACAATCTTTATTAACCGAAGAACACACAGGAGAAAAAAACAAAGCTACAACACTTAAAAGAGTAGTTCACTTTTTAAAAAACTTTTGCTGATAATTTACTCACCTCCATGTCATCCAAGATGTCCATGTCTTTCTTTCTTCAGTCGAAAAGAAATTAAAGTTTTTGATGAAAACGTTCCAGGATTTTTCTCCATATAATGGACTTCAATGGGAGCCAAACGGTTCAAGGTCCAAAAGACAGTTTCAGTGCAAACTGTTCAAAGGGCTTTAAACGATTCCAGACGACGATTAAGGGTTTTATCAAGCGAAACGATCGCTCGTTTAAAAAATAAATAACAAAGTTTAAGTTTTATAAGCTCAAATGGTCGCCTTGCTCGGTTCTGTGACGCACATTCGTGACTCTCCTGTTCGAACTTGTTTATCAAAATGAACGAATCTTTTTTCGTGTCATTTGGTTCATTCAACGAATGAAATGAACGAGATGACTTGTTCGAGATGACAAATCTTGAGAAAAGATTTGTTCATTTTGATGAACAGGAGAGTCACGAATGCGCATCACAGAACAGAGCAAGGTGACCATTTGAGCTTATAAAACTTAAACTTTGTTCTTTTTTTTAAATGAGCGATTGTTTCGCTTGATAAGACCCTTATTCATCGTCTGGAATCGTTTAAAGCCATTTGAACAGTTTGCACTGAAACTGTCTTTTGGACCTTGAACCGTTTGGTTCCCAATGAAGTCCATTATATGGAGAAAAATGTTTTCATAAAAACCTTCTTTTCGACTGAAGAAAGAATGACATGGACATCTTGGATGACATGGGGGTGAGTAAATTATTAGCAAAATTTGAAAAAAAAAAAAAAAGTGAACTACTCCTTTAAACACTGACGAGACCGAACAATTAAATAAAAAAAAGAACTACATACTTTATGAAGAGTAATCAACATAAACCAGAACATGTGCAGGAACTAACTAACAAGCAGGGAAACACGGTGAAAATGAAACCAAAGTAGAACTTAACTGAATATGTTACATGTATAATATAATATAATATTTACGTTTACCAGGGAAAGTGTGTCTATTAACATGCAGTAACATCGCTGAGTGAACCTTTACCTTTATGTTATGTGTGTGGTAGAACCGGGCCCCGTGACTCAAGTGAGCTTCACTGAGATCTTGGACACATCTCTGAGGATCAGCTGGCAGGAACCAGAAGACAAGAATGGCATTATCACAGGTGAACAGGCTCAATCATCCAATCACAGCTACAGCTCACCCACCAATCCACAGGAACTCTCACTAATCTTTCCAACGCTGCATTGGAAGGTGTCCTAGGGATTGACTTTTATTAAATCCTTTTTGTTGTTGTTGTTTTATTAAGATCACTAAAAGTTTAAAAAGTTTTATTAAGAACTTTTTTTAGTTTCCAGGTACCTTTCATGCATTGGTTTTATTATTTTACCCCTTTCCCAAACCTCGAATTTCAATATTAAATTATGAAAAAAAAACATCATAAAATGTTTTAAATATTTTATTAAAAAGATATATTTCATTTTAAACATTTAACATTTATCATCTAAACAAACATTAATTGTTTTTTAATATACAATTTTTTTTTTTAAATACCTGTTTTACTGTCATGTTACATATTAGTAAGTATAGTTAGTTGCGTTACTCCTCTACTTTTAGTTAATTACTCCACAACAGTGCTCTGAAATTGGTTGCATTCATCTTACATTAGTCTTAAAAATTAGTAATTTATATTTTTTCTTCAAGATTTGTCATAACGTTTTCTTGAAATTAGTTACATAAAAAGGTAAATTGGTCTAATTTGAATGTTAAAAGTAAGAACTAACTGCTAGTTCGTAAGACAGTCTAAACTCAATGAAATTCCATAAAGAGTTATAGGAGAAGGTCACTGCCTATGTAGTCCTCAAGCAGTGAGGTGGTTCACTTAGCCTACATTTCTCTTTCTCGTCCTCTCTTTTCCACCTCTCCATAGGTTACGTCTTGTGTTGGGAGGAGGACGGTCAGAACGAAACCCGCGTGTCTCAGACTCTATCCAACTCCACGCTGGCGTATAAAGTGACCGGGCTCACTTCACTCACCACGTACACTCTGCAGGTCGCTGCCGTAACACAGGCCGGCACCGGCACTGCCACCTCATCGGCCATCTCAACAGGACTGCCGCCAGGTCTCCACACTCCCAAACAAACACACACTTCAATGCTAGCATCACTTCAATGCATCAAATTCTCTCTCGGGGATCCGTGATAGTCACCATGTTGAAACTCTAAAGGAAATTCAGCCCATGAACCAGGATGCCGCAGTGGGGAGCATATTTCACATAGACCAGCAATCCGAGACACAGTCAGTAAGACTGTAATACATCACATAGAGTCAGTAAGAAGCTCTTGGGGCCGCTGTGTGTGTGTGTGCGAGAGAACATGAAATAAATGATGATGACCAAAAGCCAAGCTACACTCATTATCTCCCACTGATATGCTGTTGAGTCAGGAGAGAACGAGCTTTATCTACTGTTGAATGAGCCACCGTGAACCACCCAAATATCATTATCAATCCATTTAATTACCAATTAATCATATACCCAAACACAATGCGCACTGGTGTACACAAAAGCTAATCGACTCTGAAGTGAGTTATGGGCCCATTTACAGGAGTTTTCTTTGAAGGATAATGAAGACACAGGATGGAGAAAACTGAACAGAAAATGTCGAAATGTTTCAATTAGAGCAGCTTGTGAGTGACATAAATATGTTTTGTTGTGTTGGTAAACAGAGCTACCTGGTGCTCCCTCCAATCTGATCATCGCTAACATCAGTCCCCGCTCCGCCACCATAAAGTTCCTCCCCGGCAGTGACGGCAAAACTGCCATCTCCAAATGGATCGTAGAAGGACAGGTGTGTAGGCGTGTGTGTGTGTCTGTCAAATTTAGTTAACTTTTAGCTAACTGGCTAACTTTCCCACAAACGGCTAATGTTTACAGGATAGCTAACTTCGCTATCTCTGTACAAAGTTGTTAAAGGAGAACTCCAGCGCAAAATGAACCTTTGGTCTAATAAAACATCGGTACCTAGTCAATCGTTCTCTGAGATTTGTTTTCATGATGATCGAATATAAAGAGTTGTATCTCTAAAAATGGTTTAGCGTATAATGCTAGTAATGGGGGCATATAATAAGTAAAAAGAAATCGCTAGTTTATACCACTAACAAGGCTCAAAATAGCCCCACACTAACGCAGTAACATAATGAGGGTCCATACATGCAAAACGAAGCATTGAAAACTTTGTAAGTGTACAGACGTTTAATAAGAAGATATTTTATGAAGACAGTGCACTTCGTGTATACAGACAGGAGCCATCTAAGAAAATAGTCTCTAAGTCAAACCACGAACGCCGTTCATACAGCTCAGAAGTTCGCTGAACTTATTTTTTACAGTCTATTTGAACTTCATACAGTTCAGCTCACTCAGCATGACATTTGTGGTTTGACTTGTCATGACTGTTTTCCAAGATGGCTCCTGTCTGTATAAACTATGGTATAAACAAAGTAAACTGTCTTTATCTTCTTATTAAAGAGTAACTAAACACTAAACCAACTTTTTTTAGTTAATGATCTGTAAGAATGGATCTTTGTTAAAACCAGTCATTGATTCGAGTAACTTTTTTGACATTTGTTTATAAAGTGTTCTATTTCTACAATATATAGTGTAAAAACATCTTAGTGCTGCCCTCTTCAGGTTGAACGGTGGCTACTGCAGTTGAATTTTCCTATTGGATGTTCCGCACTTCGCGACGTACCCAGGTTTCAGCTCAACACGCGAGCTACGCCCTTGGCAGTATAAAAACTATCTTGTGTCGTCAAAACCACTGTAGGGAGTCAGGAATTGGAATTGTGAGTATTGAAAACGATCAGGATAGAGTGTTTTAGCATCTATTTCGTCCCTTCTACTGTATCTCTGCTGGGGTCTGCCCACTTGTTCAGCATTTTCAAATATTGCCAGTGGGTGGAGTCAGGTTACCCTTTAAACGGTCTGTACACTTACAAAGTTCTCAATGCTTCGTTTTGCATGTATGGACCCTCATTATGTTACTGTGTTAGTGGTATAAACTAGCGATTTCTTTTTACTTAATATATGCCCCCATTACAAGCATTATACGCTAACACAGTTTTTAGAGATAAAACTCTTTACATTTGATCATCATGAAAACAAATCTCAGAGAACGGTTGACTATGTACCAATGTTTTATTACACCAAAGGTTCATTTTGCGCCGGAATTCTCCTTTAACTTTGCCACAGATATCAGAATTCTGTCAGCTGAACCAATGGTTAACTGTGCTACAGTTTTTCCTTTCGGCAAAAGTATAAATAAAAAAATGGTTATATTATTCATGTATTGTAGCTTCTGGTGGGAAATGGGATGCCATGTTAATTTTCTCTCTTCAAAATAGTTTACTTTGCTGTAAATGACACTTTTGTCTCTCCAAAATGGTCAACTTTCCCATGAATGTCAATATTTTGTCTACGCAGTTGGTCAAATGGCACTGTGACACTTGTATTTGAAAATTGGTTAACTATCACTTATTGTCTCTCTCCAAAATGGTTAACTTTGCTGTAAATTACATTTGTTTTTTATGCAAATATAGACAAAAAAAGTATAATGTCGCAAATGTCAAATTTTAGGGCTGTGGAATGGTTCACTTTGCCACAAATGGCAATTTTGCTTCTGCAAAATGATAAAAATTTTGCATTGAAGGGTTTTTTTTTTTCTCTGAAATAATGTTTCCTATGCCACAAATTGCTGTTTTCCCTGCCAAATAAGTAACTTTGCGACGAATGGCAATAGTCCTTCCGTTTCCACATTCTGCAATTTTCTTTCTGCCAAGACTGCTTTGTGGAATATGACTCTTCAGTGTATGTGCTCATATGTATAAGTTTGTGTGTATTTGTGGGTGTGTGTTATGCCCTTGTCTGGCAGGCTGTGCTCCAGTGAAGATGCTGTTGTCTGACAGGTACTTTATCTCCAGGGAGAAACAGGCTTGCTCTTGCACTAAAACATCTTCCCCTGGAGAAAACGCGCACACACACACACAAGCACACATGCGCACACACTGTATGTGACACAGTACGAGATGGCTAAGGAGATGTCATGCACCGTGTCTCCCCTGCCCTTTAGGTGTGGTGTGGTTTGTGTGTGTGAGCATATGTGTTAAGCTCCTCTTGGATGGCGTCCAATGCTGTGCAGCGTGAAGAGAAAAACTCCTCCTAATGAGATCCCTCCCTTCCCCCCTCCGTTTTCTCCGTTCTCCGTCCTTTAATACTGTTTAATCGAGGGAGAGCAGGAGGGAGGGAGGAGAGAAGAGAGAGGAGAAGATTAGAGGTACTGAGGTGGCACTAATGGGGTCTTAAGTCTATGGGTTAGAAATCAGCTTGTGTTGGTGTGTTTTTTTACAGCTGACTTCTTCACAGCTGTATCCGGGACCAGGCCCGGTTGCTGATTTCGATTCCCTTTGTAATCTTCTCACCTTCCCTCTGCTCGAGCAGGGCTGCACAAAACACGCTGTGTAGATATGGTGTTTTCATGGAGTCCAAGTGCTAGGTGATTCAACATGGGTTATAATATTTAAAGGGACATAGCTTGGAAAACTGCATTTTTCTTCCTCTCTCCTCAGTGCTCCCAGATCATTGGTTAATATTAAAGGAGTAGTTAACTTTTCAAAAAAACATTTGCTGATAATTTACTCACCCCCATGCCATCCAAAATGTCCATGTCTTTCTTTCTTCAGTCGAAAATATTTTTTTTGATGAAAACATGCACTTCAGTGGGAACCAAACGGTTCGAGGTCCAAAAGACAGTTTCAGTTCAAACTGCAAACTGTTTTAAGGGCTTTAAACGATTTCAGACGATAAATAAGTGTCTTATCAAGCGAAACGATCACTCATTTAAAAAAAAAAAAAAAGTGACATGTGCTCAAAAGTTTTATAAGCTCAAATGGTCGCTCTGTTCTGTGATGCACGTTTGTGACTCTCCTGTTCGAACTCGTTTATCAAAATGAACAAATCTTTTTCTGAGTCATTTGGTTCATTCAACGAACGAAACTAACGAATTTGTTTCGCAAATGGTTAAACATTTAAATTTAGCGCCAGATGATTCCACCATGCACTCTATTTACTCTTATAATAATACTATAGTCATTTAAATTAAGAAATGGTACAATAAATTACCTTTCCGAATCAGAAAAGACATACATTTCGATTATGGAATGTTATAATCATCATGTTTATTCAAAATTAAGAGCAGCTGCGTTGATTGTCAGTCGTTGTCATGGAGAAATCCTGTAAAAACTCTGTAACTGCAGAGCCATCGCCGACGACTGATGACGAATCGGGTTGTTCCATTTCACAGGGGAATATTTCAACTCCTTGGCCCTTTGAACCCTTTTTAAGGGCCCTTTTAAGGGCCAAGTGGTACACTCAAAAACAAGGGGTAGGGCCAAAAGGTGAATTGGGATTGAGACTTAATTTCTGCCAACAAAACAACAACAACAACATCAGAATATATAATTGTTGCCCCTATTATGAGAGGAAAATGGGTCCAGTGTTGTATTGGTATCCATTAACTTGCATTATATAGACAGAAAACTCCTTCAAATGTACAGATTTTGTGTTTCCCAAAAGAAGGAAAGTCACACAGGTTTGGAATGGTGAGTAAATGGTGACAGAATTTACATTTTTGGGTTTTAAACTGTCCATTTAAACTCCCTAGTCCATCCCGATGAATGATGTGTGAACTGTGAGATTGGTCAATCATATCAGAACTCATTTACATATGGAAATGTGAAAGGTGCAGTAGCCAAAAACAATCAGAGGCTCAGCGAGAGGACTGTTTTGTGTGAAAGAGCCCTTGACTAACAGTATAAGTGAACTTAAGGGGGAAATTGAAACGCTTTCGAAGTGAAAAATATGGGCCCTTTTAAGTATTTTGACAGTTTATACATGATAATGATAGGAAAGAGCTAACCGCATGATATTAATCACAGGTTGCTCTATGAATAAATGGAAGCAGCTCTCAGGGAAGTCCTAGAGGAGACGTGAGTCACGTGATTTTGACATGTTTGAAATGATAAGCCGTTTTTGTTTGCAAATAATGACTGGTTACATTACCCGGTGTCTCTTTGTAGCATTTTTTTTCATGTTGTGGATCTGCTTTTTAATTAGCTCATTACCTCATTAAGGTCAAGGTGGTTAAAAAAACAAGCACTTTACGGCTCTCGCGTGTCATTGTGGAGACCCTATGGCAACTTGCTTTTGATTCGTGGAAAAAATGGAAAACAACAGCCCTGATATGGATGGAGTGTGCGCTGCAGGCAGCTTGGTTTGGTTTGCTGTTGCTTTTCACTGTCTGTCTAAAGTTTTCCTATCATCAGCTCTGACTGCTGAATCTGACTCTCAGTATATTTAAAATGACACTGGAGGAATGAGGAATGCAGGATGTGTAATAACACAGTATGGGGTACCTGAATTTGCCCTTATTTGCTGTATACATCATGTGAAACCTAATATGAACTAGAACCAATCTCAATTTTAACATCTCATTTGTTGACTGTCATGTTGATGTCAGTTTACTACTAATAGTTAAGGCATTTTAACATAGAACTGGATGAAAATATCTCTGGGCTCTGACTTCCTTGCAACACAACGTATTGCTATAGCATTGTAGTGTAAAATAAAAAATCGAGTATTTAATAAAAATAATTAATTATACATTTATTTACAGAGCTGCAATAAAATTGACTAAAATGGGAAATTAACAGTTTTATGTATTATTTTTAATAAAATATTTTTTATTAAATGTTACTAAATATTTTAATACAAATTAAATAAATCAATAAAGAAATGTATTACTATAGCAATACTACTGTACTGTAAAATAAAAAAGTATATAATAATAATATTTATTATTATTATTATTATTATTGAAATTAAATAAACAAGGAAATATATTACTATAGTAATACTATTAAAAAGTAAAATATAAAACAAATCTATAATTGTAATGACTAAAGTTGTAAAATATACATTTTTATTTATTATTATTATTAAAATATTTGTATTAAATTGTGTTGACTATTATAATACAAATTAAATATACCAATTAAGAAATGTATAACTATAGCAATACTATTTCACTGTAAAATAAAAAAAGTATATAATAATAATATTTATTATTATTATTATTATTATTAAAATTAAATAAACAGGGAAATATATTACTATAGTAATACTATTAAAAAGTAAAATATAAAAAAAATCTATAATTATAATGACTAAAGTTGTAAAATATACATTTTTATTTATTTTATATTATTAAAATATTTGTATTAAATTGTGTTGACTATTATAATACAAATTAAATATACCAATTAAGAAATGTATAACTATAGCAATACTATTTCACTGTAAAATAAAAAAGTATATAATAATAATATTTATTATTATTATTATTATTAAAATTAAATAAACAGGGAAATATATTACTAAAGTAATACTATTAAAAAGTTAAATATAAAACAAATCTATAATTATAATGACTAAAGTTGTAAAATATACATTTTTATTTATTTTATATTATTAAAATATTTGTATTAAATTGTGTTGACTATTATAATACAAATTAAATATACCAATTAAGAAATGTATAACTATAGCAATACTATTTCACTGTAAAATAAAAAAAGTATATTATAATAATTATTATTATAAAACAAACCAATGAAGAAATTGATTTCTATAATACTATTGCACTCTAAAATGTAACCCAACTATAATATATAATATTATTTGATAATATTATATATTATTTGCTCATTATTTGATAGGTGCAGAATTTAAAAGTGCAAAATAGCTCAAATAGAATTATAATAAAATATATTTTTATCAAATGATGACTGAAAACCACTCGCTGGCTTAAACATGCATTAAGGACAACATTTAAACAACATTTATACTGTTTTCCCCCCAAGATGATAACTAGACATCTCTAGCTGCTATAAACATGCAACATTTTTTGTTTTTTGAAATAGTGTCTATATTCAGTGTAGGATGCAGTTGGCAGCACACTGTTCACTTCAAACACATCCTCTGTGTGTCACAGGTAGGGACTGTGGGTGAGGAAGAGGAGTGGAAGGTTCTGTTCGAGAAAGACCATCCGCCAGCCTCAGACACTCTAGAGATTCCCAATCTCATCCCCTTCACTCAATACAGGTGAGCCTTTCTCCTTTTCCAAACGGGAAACCACTTCCACATCAATCAAATTAACCAAAAATGTGTCGAGAAACAGGCCCAAAAGCTAAACCTGTTAACCCTTTCAGTTTCGGTGTTTAAATCTCAGCTGTTTATGCCCTTTCAATATTTAAACTCGTTACAATGCCAGCATTCCCTGCATTTATATATCTCCAGACGTCTTTTTTTGTTCATCTCTTTCTCTCGTTCCCCTTTTCTATTTCTCTCCTTAATTGATTTTCTCAAGGTCTTGTGGAAAGATTGTCTTCTGATTCTCGGCACACTATCTTGTCCTAAAGGGATTACAGATGATCAGAGGCTGTAGAGATCTGTTATCCTGTCCAAAATCCCCTGTCCCCCCACTACTCAAGAGCAAGATCAGGGAATTAAAAACACTGTTTTTTCTTCTCCCCTTGTTACATATGCCTTGCAGGTTCAGGATGAAGCAGGTGAACATTGTGGGTTCGAGTCCCTTCAGCGAGCCCTCTCGTAAGATGCAGACTCTGCAGTCGAATCCAGATGTGGCCCCGGCAGATCTCATAGTGTTTTCTCCCAGTGAAACCAGCCTGAGGATTCGCTGGGAGGTGAGAAAGGGACAAACACACACACACACACGATCCTCAAACAGTTATGGTCAAATTCACACCAAGTCCAGGTTTTCTGCATGTAAATGTCATTTTGTGTTCTGCACTATACTGTTATAAAAGTTTGGGGTCACTAAGATATATATATATATATATATATATATATATATATATATATATTTTTTTTTTTTTAAGGAAAAATATTTATTTTATCCAGCAATGATGGATTAGATTTCTGAAGCATCTTGTGACACTGAAAACTAGAGTAATGGCTGCTGAAAATTCAACGTTTCTATCACAGGAATAAAATACATTGTCAAATATATTGAAACGGAGAATAGCTATTTTAATTTGTAATAATATTTCACAATATTTCTTTATTTTTTTTAATCTTTTTGAACATATGAGGCTTCTTTCAAAACCATTCAAAAATCGTATAAACTCCGAACTGCTTCTACATTTCTGCACATTTGATGTGTAGAATGGTGATATGATCAGAGTAGACCATAATCAAACCAAACAACATAACAGTTTAATGCAGGATATACAATACCATACATAAATAATCTAATAAGATAAAATAAAAAGCCTTTTCGTTAATGCACAATAACACAATATTGAATTATTTTCAGAACACACTGCTACATAATGTTACAATAACGTTGCAATATCCACATGGAATTTTACAAAAGTATTTGAATACTTTTAAAATGTCACGGAAGACTTCTGTGATGACATCAAACTAAAATGCCATTGTATTGGTGAAGTCTACGTCAGATATATATACACGCATACATGATAAAGAATATTTTCGGAAGTTTCTGAATTTCTTTTCTATAAAACTGATAAAAGCATATATCATTACATATATAATTAGCGCCATACAAATATATTATTGTTTTTTGTCATTCCCTCTAATATGTATGTTTATCACCTAAAGGATTATTTGGAACACCTGTTCAATTTCTCATTAATGCAATTATCTAATCAACCAATCACATGGTAGTTGCTTCAATTTATTTAGGGGTGTGGTCCTGGTCAAGACAATCTCCTGAACTCCAAACTGAATGTCAGAATGGGAAAGAAAGGTGATTTAAGCAATTTTGAGCGTGGCATGGTTGTTGGTGCCAAACGGGCCGGTCTGAGTATTTCACAATCTGCTCAGTTACTGGGATTTTCTCGCACAACCATTTCTAGGGTTTACAAAGAATGGTGTGAAAAGGGAAAAACATCCAGTATGCGGCAGTCCTGTGGGCGAAAATGCCTTGTTGATGCTAGAGGTCAGAGGAGAATGGGCCGACTGATTCAAGCTGATAGAAGAGCAACTTTGACTGAAATGACCACTCGTTACAACCGAGGTATGCAGCAAAGCATTTGTGAAGCCACAACACGCACAACCTTGACGCGGATGGGCTACAACAGCAGAAGACCCCAACGGATACCACTCATCTCCACTACAAATAGGAAAAAGAGGCTACAATTTGTAAGAGCTCACCAAAATTGGACAGTTGAAGACTGGAAATATGTTGCCTGGTCTGATGAGTCTCGATTTCTGAGACATTTGAGAGTAAACAGAATGAGAACATGGATCCATCATGCCTTGTTACCACTGTGCAGGCTGGTGGTGGTGGTGTAATGGTGTGGGGGATGTTTTCTTGACACACTTTAGGCCCCTTAGTGCCAATTGGGCATCGTTTAAATGCCACGGCCTACCTGAGCATAGTTTCTGACCATGTCCATCCCTTTATGGCCACCATGTACCCATCCTCTGATGGCTACTTCCAGCAGGATAATGCACCATGTCACAAAGCTTGAATCATTTCAAATTGGTTTCTTGAATATGACAATGAGTTCACTGTATTAAAATGGCCGCCACAGTCACCAGATTTTAACCCAATAGAGCATCTTTGGGATGTGGGGGAACGGGAGCTTCGTGCCCTGGATGTGCATCCCACAAATCTCCATCAACTGCAAGATGCTATCCTATCAATATGCGCCAACATTTCTAAAGAATGCTTTCAGCACCTTGTTGAATCAATGCCATGTAGAATTAAGGCAGTTCTGAAGGTGAAAGGGGGTCAAATACAATACTAGTATGGTGTTCATAATAATCATTTAGGTGAGTGCATATGCCATTAAGAACCAAGTAGCTTTAAAAGGGTTTCTTGCTGCATCGAAAGGACGTGGTTCTGGATTTTTGTGCCAACATTATCATTAAAACTGGAGCACTCATGCAAATATAGCGATTTCCGCTCACTCAAACACACGCAGAGATGGACACAAATACTGTCTGCTGCACCCTTATACGCTGGAAGAGTTTGACAGCTTATTTTTCCTCTCTGTTTTTTTCTGCTATCACGAGCCATAGTGTGCGTCAGTATCAAATGTAATTGCTGTTATTTTCTCCTTCACTTCTCCTTTTTCCCCCCTCTCACCTTTTCAAAGCCTGAAGAGCGATCGAAGAATTTGAGTTGTAGAGGCACATAACATGAAAGCTGTCATTTCATAAAACGGGATTCCATTTAATCTAAAAAACAGCTTCTGCAAAGCCTCCGCTGCTCGTAGTAACACATTTATGGAGTTCTGGTGCTCAAAAAGTGACCCTCGGGACATAATAGTGCTTAATGCAGTACTTCACAAGCGCTGAAAAGGAAAACAGTGACCTATAACCTCTTTTTTTATGGATAATAATTTATTAAGCTCGTTCTAAAACTTCCATGTAGCTGCCATTGAACAAAAGGTTATACTTTTACTGCTCCCGTCATTTGCCAAGTAACCCACGTTTCCCGAGTTTTAATGTCTTTAATGAGGAGAATTTACACTGTCGGATGTATTTCATGAGTTGCTGAGGAAATGCATTGAGTTTCAGAAGTATTTAGGCAGCTAATTTTCATTTCTCATAATGAGGTGAACTAACAAAACCATTCCACCTGTACTTTTTGCAAACACAAAAACCTGAGTCTTATTCACTAGCCACTTATAATCTGGTTTAACTCTTTCACTGCCAGCGTTTAAAACTTATTTTTATTTTTTTTAAGTTGCCAGCCACCGAAAGCATTTTTGATCATTTTCCCACACACAATATATCAAAAGAAAGAACAGAGCCTCTACTTAAAGGGTACATATCATGCTTTTAAATCATTCATTTTTACTTATAAATCATACATTTGTGGTCTATATAAAGCATAACTGCAATGCTTGGGTCTGAATTCCTCATTATTATAGCTCCACAGGCCCCTTTTCTGATATGCTTCTGTGAGCAAGTCGCTTCGAAGCGGCCCCTTTAAATAAAAAGGAGTTGCGACTTTCCCCGCCCCCTTTCCAGGTCGCTGAGTTCACGGTCGGTTCAACTCCCCGCGTTCGGCCATTATTGTAGTTTCATAAGAGATATACGATTACTATAGCTTCAAAGAACATTTTTATTCGCACGTTAACAAAATGTCAACAACGGAAGACTTGTCCATCAAGCCTTACATATTCGAGTTGAAAAAGTCGACGACGAACCTGCAGAACAACGTCTTCATATGGATGCAGTGGTGTGAAAGTCGACTATTTCTCTTGTTAAAACAAGCACACTGACAAGATAAATGACTGCGGTCTGATCTTATTACTAAAAATCTGTATTGATAATAATATGATAACTTGCGTTTAGAAAAGCGTCAGAAAATACAACAGTTAAATGATAGAAGGAATTTATCTCTCATTCAGACGAAGTCGATCGGCAAACCCTTCTTTATACTGGCGGAGGTTGTTGAAGTGGGGATCCTTGAAGTGCTTCAGGTCACTACATCCAACAACCGAACATTTTGACTAGCCCTCTCGTAACTGCATCATTGAGCTTGGACTACAAAATCGGAGCGAGAAATAATAATGGCGGATTGCTCGAAGTGTTGGACCGGTAGTCAATGTCCTCATTTGGCAGTTCCGCTGCAAATACGGTGACGTAATTGTTCAAAAAACGTAATAGAGAACAGACAAATCTGAACAGGTTGAAAAATATGACCAAAACAGAATATAAAGATATAAACGAAGCACCTGAAGAGAATAATTTCATCTTTTCTGTACTTACAAACACTCCAAATATACAACAAAATGAATTTAAGGGCTAAAAAAGTGGATTTTTAAAAAAAATGGTATCGTATATAATCATATATCTCTAATCAAACTACAATAATGGCCGAACGGGGGAGTTGAACTGACCGTGAACTCATTGACCTGGAGAGCGGGCGGGGTATGACGCATCTCCTTTTTATTTAAAGGGGCCGCTTTGAAACGGGTCGCTCAAAGACGCACATCAGAAAAGGGGTAGAAAAGGGGCCTGTGGAGCTATAATAATGAGGAATTCAGACCCAAGCATTGCAGTTATGTTTTATATAGACCACAACGGTATGATTTATATGTAAAGATGAATGATTTAAAAGCATCATATGTACCCTTTAATGTGGGGACCATAAGGACTGAAACATTGATTTGGCCCGTATTTGTGAAGTCACTTGCATTTGTCAACTAGCCAAAAGCATTTTAATTGAAATGCTTCAAGCAGTCAATGTACTGAAGCTGTGAACATCGTAAGGTTTGGAGTGGGCATTAAAGTACTAGGCGAGCAACCATGTGCGAACTCTTGGCATCTGATGCTGGGAAACGTCTCTGAGCCATGTGCCAATGTGCAACGCACAGCTGAAGCAAGCGAGGGACTGAGCTGCATTACAGCCAATTTCAAATGACATTTAATTTATGTTTATGAGGAGATTAAGGAACTTCCTTTCTGTTTACTGCACACAATTTGACGCTCGTGAAGGTTTTCATTCATCCAGATCATCGTAGAACTTAGCCACTGGGATGAGCTCTTCGACATTCATTTCCAATTCCTGTTGAGTATAGATTAACTTGCAGAAAATTAGTTCTTAAGTTTCAGCTCTCAAATTTCAATCACCCAAAATGTGTTTGGAGAACTGAAGTTTCTCTTAGTTTAAATGTCACTTTTCACAATTTAATGTCATTTAAATGTAATCCAAACTTTTGAATGGGGGTTTAAACAAAAAAATGGGCATGATTCCATTTTTTTAATAAAAAATATTTTATATATATATATTTTATATAAATATATATATATATATATATATATATATTTTGTGAGATATTTTTCTTGAAAATATTTTGATGTGAGAAGCCCAAAAGAGTGTGGGAAGCAGGTTGAGCTTTTTCTTTTGTTTTGTAGTGTTTTTTTTTCTATTGCATTGTTGTGTTTTATGTTGTCTGTGTTGTAAATTGCTTATGTTTTTGGACCCCATTGAAAATGAGATGTTACTTCTCAAGGGGCTATCCTGTCAATAAATTCAAAATATAAAAGTTGAAAGTAATAGACAGTCCAATGAACAGAATTTATTTGCATTTACTTAAATAAATTAAATCATTTATTAAATGGAAATATCTGGTAGCATTATACTTTTGATCAATTTAATACATCATTGATGAATAAAAGTAATAGTTTCTCTCTTTTTTATCAACTGTCATTGTTTCCACAAAGAAAAAAGCAGTTTTCAACATTGATAATAATATGAACTGTTTCTTGAGCACCAAATCATTATATTAGAATATTACTATTTTTACTGTATTTTTGATCAAATAAATGCAGCCTTGGTGAGCATTAGAGACTTCTTTCAAAAACTGTATCTTCCAAACTTTTCCAAAATTTCACAATGCCTGATATTTTCAAAATGTTGTATTCTTGTTAGCCATTTTATTTAGAATCCAAATCCTAGTTTTGGGGTATACTTATTGATGTACTGCATGTCTATCAGAGTCTCCCAGAGTCTAATGTTGTCCTCTTCATCTTCTGTAGCCTCTCCCAGAGCCAGCTTATAACGGAAACCCCGAAAGTGTGGGATACCGTGTGCGCGCACAGAGAGCAGACGGGCTCGGGACGCCCCGAATGGAGACGGTCTCTGATCGCCTGTCTCGAGAGGTGACAGTGGAGGGACTTGATGAGTGGACGGAGTACGAGCTGAGCGTTCAGGCCTTCAACGGCATCGGGCCTGGACCCTGGAGCAGTTCTGTGCTGGGCAAAACTAAAGAGTCAGGTGACACACTTTTGTCTCCACTTTTGATTTTACAAAAGTAACAAACAAAATAAAAGATCAACGTTTGTTTCAAAGTTTAATATTATTTGTTCATGAATTTGAGGAGAAGAAACTAAATAAAGTTGCTGTTTTGCCTGCAACCAAATGAATTATGTTAAGTTAAGCATCATTGTGTTGATGCATCATGGTTACATTTCCATCTTTATCCTTTTACATTTCAGTTTTGTTTTATAAGGAATAAATAAAATATAAGCCTATAAGACAAGACATGTCAGTTGATTTTTATATTAATACCATAGGTTGCTGCATTATTTAGGAACTCTACACAAGCCACAGTGTAGACAGAATCTCACTAGGCGATTTTTAGTCGCAAGCCTCATTTACATAGTCGCTGGAGACTCAGATGGAGTATTTGCCCGGGGCCGCTTCTCTCAGCGGGTGCCCGTTAGCAGACCCAGCGACTCCCTGCTGAGTTAATGATCCTGACATCTCAACATCCAGAAAGTTTGAAATGATCAGAGGCAGCTGGTGAGACGGGCACTTGTGTCCTTGGCAGTGGCCACTTACTGGTTTCAAACATCTGATTTCCCTTTTTACTTTTTCTGTTGCTTGTGACTCGATATGCATTCTAAAACATCATGCTATGGAGGTCACACTCATAAAGAGTAATTTCTCGTGGAAGAAATGCTTTGGAACTGAGCATATACTACTGTTCAAAAGTTAGGGGGTCAGTCTGTCAATTGATCAGAATTAACGGTAAATACAAGAATTATATTAATAAAAAACAATCTTCAGCATCAAAGCAGCATATTAGTGATTTCTGAAGAGATCATGTGATACTGAAGACTGGAGTAATGATGCTGAAAATTCAACTTTGCCATCACAGAAATAAGTTAGTGTCACTAAACCTAAACTAATCTTGACAAATTATATATCATTTGAAAGCTTACAATCTCTAGTTTACATATTTGAGTATAATTTATCAATTTGCAACAAGAATGTTTTCATACTCCTAAGGCGTGTTTAGATCTTTACTTTGAAATTGTGATGAACATGAAAAATCATGAAAGAAGGGTAGAAACCTCAGTTTGTTTTCATGCCAAGAATTCAAAAGATAGCATCCATTCAATTATTTTAGAAAAAAAAGGTCTGAATGGTTCATATCACCCAAAACACTTACTGTATGGAAATGGAGTCCCTTATATGGACAGTAATGGAGTCTGGTTGTAATCTAGTGAAAAAGTTTGGTACTGCGCCCAAACAAAATCTCACTGAAAGCTAATTTTTTGAGATATCAACTTAAAATTTGAAACACAACCTATTCAGATTTTTTTTTTCTTTTTGCATTTTTAGAGTCGCCCAGGTTTTGAAAATATATATTTTATACAAAATATGAATAATATATATTTTTTTTATTTTACATTTTCATAAACTCAAACTTCTATAACTTTTTTTCTGCTTTACATTCTTAATTTATTTCACTTCTACAAAAATCTGCCAAATGTCTTCTTTAAAACGAGACCAATCTTACGTCTATATTTCAAAGCATACTTGAATTGCAACCATTTAAAGGGATACTCCACTTTTTTTGGAAATAGGCTCATTTTACAACTCCTTCCGAGTTAAACTGTTATATTATGGAAGTCATTTGGACCAGAAACCGTCTGGTTACTGATATTCTTCTAAATATCAGAAAATCGTCTGAATGTATTCGAAAACGGTAAAAAAAAAACGAAAACGAAAGTTGTAAAATGAGCCTATTTCCAAAAAAAAAAAAAAAAGTGGAGTATCCCTCTAAGTTCGAAGTGTGCATTTTTATGTATATTAAAAAAGGGGGGTGACAGTTAAGAGGTTAAAATATATTGAAACATAATTATTTATATAATATTGCTCTTTTGACCTCAATATTGATCATATAGATGCAGCCTTCATGTACATGTAGACTTATTTCAAAAACAGTAAGGGCCAGATTTACCAATACTAACAGCTTGCGCCAACACAAACCCTCTTTCGGTATTCAATTTACGCAATAAAAAATTAGCGCTGAAAAGGCTTGGACAGTTATTTTTGCATTTGTAGAAGTTTTCCTTTCAGATGCAAAATTTACGAGAGGAGAGTATTTGAATGAATCACGCAAGGTGATTTACTAAGGTTTGTGCTAGTCAACTTACTGTTATTTGCGCCATTATTTAGTTGTTAGTAGATCACCCACACCTGATTATCATCGGCTCTGCTTGTTTGCGACCTTATGCTAATTTGCGTTGTTGTTGGTATAATGCGTTGGTCATTATGGAAATGATCCGGTTGTGTCTATGTTCTTTAATTTGCATGTCGTAAGTAGATCACAAACATAACTTTCCACTCCCATCTGCGCTTTCATGGAATTGCGCTCTCACGCTAATTTGCCGTTTAGTAAATCTGGCCCCAAATATCTTACCTTTCCCAAACTTTTGAACAGTAGTGTACCTAGAAAAAAATTATTCTATTGACTTTATAGAAATTTCTACAACTTTTTGAATAACCTTTGAAGATTTTATACATTTACAAGACTTTTCCAGTCCTAGAATATCACACTTTAGAAATCTTTCTTGCACTGATGAACAGACAAACTAAACTTCCTCAGCAAATGCAAAAGTTGCAAACACAAATTTATCTGCAGTTCTACTCTTACAGAATAAAAAAGTGTCTTGTCTTTTTTCTCACTGAAGCTGTGCATGAACTTATGCCGGCAATCAAATACACATTACACACATTCACAGGGTAAAGCTTCGAATTGAATCTTAAATCAGTCCATTAAAATTGTTTATGCTCATCAGTTCTCCGGTTCTTATATCACTGAGCTTCACATGACAGGAAATCAGAGAGAAAAGTCAGAAGCTGTTGTTTAAGCTGTCAGCCCTTTTCTCTTTTTAATCAGACATCACTAGATTTCAGCAAAAATAGTCAGTAAATAGGAAACTCTTACCAAAATGAATGGTTTTAGGTCGGCTATTGAGACTTGGGCCTTAGGCTAATGAAAATTGTTTATTCTTACTATTAATGATAAATGTCACTATTGGTGTCTTTTTTATCATATTGTTGTTCTAATATGAGGTAAAATCACTGTAAGACAGCCTTGAGTAGGCTTTTGCTTTATTATAAAATGGCTTTTTATATGGGTGTGTTTTCAGTTCCCTCTGGTGCCCCAGAAAATGTGACCACTGAAGCAATGAGCTCCACGAGTGTATTGGTCACCTGGGGTTTAGTCCCTGAGCACCAGAAGAATGGACACATCCTTGGTTACAAGGTACGGTTACTATATCAAAGGGAATGCTTTGAGACCCTTAAAATCCCCCACAGGCTTAACTGGAGAGTTCAGTCTGCTGAAACACTGTAGCAGGGTGAATTTGTACTGTATATGGAGACGTTCGACTGGAATCATTTTAAATTTCTTGTTCAGGCAGTCAATTATTATTAAAGTTCAACCAAAAATGTAAATTCTGTCATCACAAACCTATTACTTTCTTCC